AGCACCTGCAAGATAAGAAACTTTTTAATATTTACTGGTCATGTGTCGTAACACACGTACAGTCTGGCTGCTAAGCTATTGAACCCTGAGATGCATGTGGTCTGTCCAGCAGCTTCACGCTACAGGGAATTAAATTCCATATTGTACGACGGATGTTAACAGCGTTAATTCCTTAAAGAAATTATTGTGGAAATATATTTATGTACATTTCTTTGATGCTGAATGTGTCGTGTATGGGTCTTGTGCTTTTGGAAAGGACTTTACATTTTCTGTCGTGTACATTACAGATGATTAGAAATGTCAGGCTAAGAGGAAGTTGGCTCAAAACAGGAAACTTTGAACAGATGTGCAGTGGGGGAAGGGGGTCGTGAAACGGATGCAGATGGCAGTGTTGGGTCGTAATCGTAGGTCACGGAATAAGCTGTGTATTGCACGGACAAGCTCTCATGGTCATACCCTCTGTCCCATCTCTTTGAATTTACAGTGCATTAAATTTAAAGTGTAAGAACAGAATCACTCTATATATGCGCAAAGGATTCAGTTCCGCATGATTTTTTTTTTCCAATTCTGATAAATACAAAATTACTCGCTACACATTCTAAGGTACATAAAAATTAGAATTGGACCAAATCCGTACATTTTAGATACTGCCAAATTCACGAGTGCTCTCTCTCCTTAATGCAGTGAAACTGTTTCAAGTCATTGAGACCGATAAGACACTGTACTTAGTGATGGAGTATGCCAGTGGCGGCGAGGTCTTCGACTACTTGGTGTTGCACGGCCGAATGAAGGAGAAAGAGGCGAGAGCAAAGTTCCGACAGGTAAGCGGCAAAATCTTCCTTGTTGTCTGTTTTTAAGAAATGCCACGTCCATTCACTTCTTGATGTGCCAGACTGAGGCATAACATCTGGAATTTGTGATGGTGGACCTTCGGAGAGTTCTGTAGTTTTTCTGGCTCTGCGAAGTGGTCTGAAGGAGTCTTAAATGAGTGTGAAAACCATGGAAAACACAGAAATTAACACGTGAACTGTGCACGTAGATCCCACTTGTACCACTGCAGTTGGGAAGATCTCCTCTCCCTTCCCTACTCTTTGTCACTTTATTTCTGCAGTGCCGTTAACTTCATGTGGAAGAGGATGTGTATCGATTTGTTGAACAAAGTTCACTGTGAGAGAAATAAATGTTACTCAAATAAACTGATATCTTTTTATGCTGGAGAGATAAGAGGCGGCAGTGTTCAGTAAAACCATCACATGCAAGATTCCATGTGAGCTTGGTCTACCAGCTCAGCTTCTGGAAGCTTTTCGTAGTTGGCGAGGATCATGTCTAGAATTCCAGGCGTAACTTCCAAGCAATACCCTTGCAACTTCGTAACAATATATTTTGACCCTTTAGAGCCCGGTGGTAACTGCTTACACCACGTACTTCAATGTCTACACTGTATTTGCATGTCTTGTTTGATTCTCACAGTAAATTGATTATTTTACTTAAAAATTATTCATTGTCAGGACTTTTTCCATCGTCTATTCTTTAAAACCCACTGCGTTTCGGAGGCTGGTTTTGTCTCCGTCTTGAGGTGAGAGGTACCTACTCTGTTGGGTCCCTTAGATAGAGCTAGTCTCTCTCACCTGAAGACGGAGACAGAAACAGCCTCCGAAACGTCATGGGTTTTGGAAAAAGTCCTGACAATGAATAATTTTAAGCTTAATCTACCGTCGTAAAAACCCTTTAGACTCGAGTGATTATTTCCTTAAACAGCGCTGATCTTCAGGAGACAAGAATTTTCTGAATTTTTATGTATTATTTAAATGACCCGTGGCTGCAAGGGATGCAAATAGCAGGAAGAGCAATTGTACAGAAAAAACAGAGAATTTGTTCTATATACATAGATTTTTTCTGTAGCGTACAGACTTTCCGTAATCTAAAATGGCAGGTACGGCATTAGAAATGCATGTTTTTAACATGTTAGGTCTCTGTGTGGTGTTCTTGGCTTTGTTTTACATTTAGAACAGTTGCCACTTACTTTATGTCTCTAATATTGAAACAACACTTCCTTTCTAGATTGTTTCTGCAGTACAGTATTGCCACCAAAAGAAAATAATTCATCGAGACTTGAAGGTAAGTTTTCACTTCATTTATGAAAGTGCTACAGATTCTTGATGCGAGGAGAATTGTATTTCATAGGTCAGGTGATCATTTTCAGCAATATAACATCGTAGATTGCAGCATTCAGAAGGTTGCAAGCATCGCAGATTTATTGTGGAACTTCCTGTTTGCAGACACAGTATCATAATATTGAGGTACATACTTGCCCTTTCATTCATAATGTGTGCAGGTCTACACGTCCATGCGGCGTTCTTTCAGTTTGTAGGTGTACATGTGCAGTCGTAATTTGAATCATAGCTTTGGAGGGGCCTTGAGCTCCTGTGGTCAAAGCATGTTGGGCCAGAATAGTTTTTTGGTCTTCCTGTGGTTGGATCCTTTGTCTGATTCGTTTAACGTTTTGAGGTTTTCACGGTGATACGAGTGTAGATGGCGGACGTCTGGGTTGTTGCACGGCATAGTCTCTTGGCTCTATACTAGCATTTTTTAGGAACCTACTGACCCTGTCTTTAGGGTTGAAGTGACGAGAGTTTATTTTCCCTTAATGCCGTGGCTCAGTTTGGCTCATTTACATGGTCACTGCCGTCCTATCCCCGCATTGACTATCCTATTCCTGATTATCACTTCAGCCTCGAAGATGTGGGTTTAAAGCCGAAGGACTTCTTAGCGCAACGGCCCAGAAGACCACAATATGTATAGTCTCTTTTTTGAAAATTTGTTATAGCGTATGTACATTCCGTTCTCAACCATGGTCAGTGAATAGGATCGTCATTTGACAAACTTCACTCATTGAATGGTGCACATTGAGAGAAACTGTGTGTAAAATGAGTTAAATTCTTTTTGCAATTTAATCTTTGTGAGTCGTCAGTGAAGTTTGAGTGGGCGCTGAGGAGATTATTTGGGAGTGGAGGAAATTGTAAAATGAGAAGCTTCGCAAATTATTCTTCAGATATCATAAGTGTCAACATATCAAGGATGATGGGATGGACAAGGCATGTAGCATACATACAAGGTGCAAGAAATACGTACAAAGCTATGGAGGGAAGGGGCCGCTTGTAACGTCTGGGCGTAGGCTGGAGGATAACGTTAAAATTGGTGTTAAGGAAATGGGTAAGACGGCGAATTGGATTTATTTGGCTGAGGTTCGAGACAAGTGGTGGACTCTTGTGAACATGGTAACAGACCTGTTGGTTCAGTTAAATGTCGGGTCTTTCTTGACTAGCTGAGCAAATGTCAGATTCTCAAAAATGACTGTTCTGTAGAGATAGTGAGTTGTCAAGGAAGCTTTGTATGAGATTAAAGAGGGCAGTAGAACTCCAGCAAAGGACAGAGTGGTTTAGCAAACAGCACATAACTTAACTTCGAAATTTAGCTCTTTTAAGCGTTTAATGTTTTTTCAGTACTTCTATTAACACTTGTACTGATGGAGCTCAGAGAAGAAAGCTTGTCCATCCCATGCCTGATTCTCTTTAATGTTTGTTGTGTTTTATTTGTAATGTCTCATTGCAGGCTGAGAATTTGCTGCTGGATAGCGAGATGAACATTAAAATAGCAGACTTTGGGTTCAGTAATGAATTTACGCCCGGTAGTAAGTTAGACACATTCTGTGGCAGCCCACCGTACGCTGCGCCGGAGCTTTTCCAAGGTTAGTGGACCGTGCAGATGTCGCAGTTGTCTTGGGCATGTCGCAAGGGTACAGTCGTGAAGATCTCAAGGGAGTTTAATAATTATGCCAGAAATTGATGTGTATCGTTTAATCTTGCAACGAAGAGCGTATTGCAAGTAAGAAAATGTGCGTGCATTTTATTTGTAGTGTCCCATCCCTTGGTTTATCACTAACTTAGCTAACATAAATAACTTCGGAACCGTTCCCGTTATGGATGGCGTTACCGTTGTTCATTGAAGGAATTAATTGAAATATTTAACAGCATAAACTCTTTCTGATTGTCTGTCCATTTACTAATTATGCCAACATCCACAAATTGCTTCTATACAGTCTTAAGGCATCCTCTTAGGCAGTCGGTAAAATTTCTCCAGCGGGTGACCGACCGACTAGTGACTAGTGATGATGATGAACATTTTGCAGCCTTAATCTGGAGAGCTTTGCCTGATGCAATAGAAGGCAGGAAATTGAAGTGGGTGATATCAGGTCTAACGGACTTTGAAACATGGGTATGACGTGTGCTGGGAATCAAGTAATTGTTGGATTCTCAAGCATTTGGAAAGTTAATTTGCTAGCCAATGTGGATATTAATAACTTGTTGTGTTTTATTTAGCAAATTGCCATACAAAATATATTCTTTGTACACCATGAAATTTATGTAGTATTAGATTTTCTACTTTGTGCCATTAAACCACTTGTATATTGCGGAGTCTTTTGGGATTGTGAGTGGTGATTTAAGAAGGATGTGGAAGGACATGACCATGACTTGTTTTTAGGTGTTTGTTACACACTTTGGTGTCAGCAAAGGACACACACGGTCCTGTCCGTGTATGCATATCATGCTTCAGAGTCAAGATGCTGCCGCCGTGTATCGGCAATCCTAGAAATTACAAGTTCTGCTATGCGAGAACCAGAAAATCGCCGATTGGTTTGGATTTTCATCCAGTTTGGTTTGGTGCTTATGCCGTTAGAGGCTAGTCAAAGCTTGTGCTTTTTACCTTTCTATAAAAGTTAATATTGGTGCGACAGATTCCCAAAGTACTGAGGTGGTATGATATTTACGTTACCCATGATCCTTTTTGGTTATTTTATCTCGTTAACTCAGTGACCTTGGGTTCCACTGTTGCTTTCTTATTCCCATGGGTGGCCTGATGACATTTTCCATGATGTCACCAACATTGATTCTCTCCTGACACATGCAATAATGTGAGAATGACAGGATGGATTTTCATGAAATTTGGCATGGACGTTATGCCATAGAAGAGTACTCTAATTTAATAATTTTTAATTTTGTACAGTTGGTAATACCAGTGTGATGGATGCTTAGAATCGTGAGGTGGGACAATGATGGCACCATTACACATTATCATCTGTGCATGTGGAGTGACATCACATTTTTACTACTGTGACCTTGGATATAATGTGCGTTTGTAACCATTATCACATTTGTTATTTCATTGGTGGGCCTGATTACGCCATTTACACTGATGTCTCTCTGTACTGACAATAACTTGTGAATGATTGGATGGAATTTGGTATGGACAAATGCTGTTGGTGCTTGGTCTAAGATTTTTTAATTCAAATATAATGGGTTGTTGAATACATGAAGTGGGAACATAATGAGGCCATTACCCATAATCCCATGCACATATTTGATGATTCTGTTGTCTGTGGTGACATCATTGCGCTTGATAGTGTTACTGACTGTGTTGATCGCAGTGTCCTCAATGGTGTGCGTTGAGCGGGGTTTCTTTATACTCCAAAGAGTACACATTTCCAACATTATAATGTAATATCCGTTCCATATACAAAGGAGGAATGCTAACTGCTCAATTTTTAAGATTGCAGTTTATCAGAATAGTCTGAATTCCCCTTTGCCTTTCAGTATTTTGAACAGAAATCTCAGTCAATAATTTGTACATTTATGGCAACAGATGCGAATGAGACGGGAGCGATAGAGCAGCACTACCGTACGTCCGAATTGAGGGATGGAAGTACGGTATGTGAATTTGTGACAGTGCTGCCACTACCATAAATCAAAACTGTGCCATGTATCACATCCAGAACATCCCAGTTACCAGTTCTTTTAGCAGCCCAGTAGAGCATCGCTAAAACTTGGTTGCAATCTGATGATCTACGTCGCTGTTAGTGAGGGACCCTGTAATTGCCATCTCCTGTCTTATCATTCGACCTCAGCGTACCCAACATGGCCTTTGATTGCTTTTGACACCCCTCAGTTTCATCAGCTGGCATTAATTATTTTCTGGTGACTAGTGACAGAAAGTCTCTTCCCTGAGCTTACGTTCAGACACCCTCGTCCCTGCTCCGGCTTAAGCTTGTTTATATGAAAAAGTCACCGAGTCCTTAACTTTCCTTTAGGCATGCGATACTGAATGTTAGTTGCAAGCAGAATTGTGGTGTCATGTAATTTTCCACATCCTTGGAATCTCTGTGGGTTTATTAGATTTGGAATGTTGGTATTTACTTACACTGATTGCTGTGGGCTTTTCTGTCAGAAACAAAGAGAGTGTTTCAAAACATGGTTAGATACTGAAAGGAACTAGTGGAGGTTGGTCGCAAGCGAATGTAAAGAATTAGCCAACACGTCACATTTTATGAGTTACCGCTTCGCTCTTCTTGGGACGAAAGGCAGCACACCTTTACCTTCCAGGTTAAATTGTCTCAACTATATTTAGTATATTCATGTGATTATGTTGCAGGAAAAAAGTATGATGGCCCGGAGGTGGATGTGTGGTCACTGGGGGTGATCTTGTACACGTTAGTGAGTGGATCGTTGCCGTTTGACGGCTCGACGCTGAGGGAACTCAGAGAAAGAGTGCTACGGGGGAAGTACAGGATACCGTTCTATATGTCAACAGACTGTGAAAACCTTCTTAAGAAATTCTTAGTATTAAACCCGGCAAAAAGGGCATCGTTGGAGGTAATTTAACCCGGCATTGATTCCTATTCTTTTTTTATGTAAATCGTTTCTCTTACTGTAGTGGGACATGCAAAAATGAATCCCTAGTTGGTGTTGACTACATTCAAACGTTAAACATGAAAAGTGCAATGAGTAATCAAAATTATTATAAATCTAGATTAATTTAAACTTGCACATTCTGTCCAGAATCCACATGATTGATTTTACGGGTGTTTGTGTCGTGTCGTGTGTGACTGGCTGTTTTTCTGGTACTGATGCCAGATGGCAGAGTTCCCTGTTTCACAATTGGTGCTGCTATCTGTTAGCTTTTAGAAGCACTTCTAAAGGATGTAATGGCACAAAAGGAGTAAATGGGGATAAATGCTGAGCACGTGAAAAGAATAATTTTCTTTTAAAAATTTATTTTGTCCATTTCGTTATAAATTGTGGTAATGATGCAGAATACATCAAAAATTAATGTTGCTAAAGTGCATTTTGAGACATCTCTAAAACCTACATTTTGTGAGTGTATTACCATGGTAGTTTTGTTTAGGAGTTTACTGAGGTAAAAGGAGTCTGTGATTCAACAGGAATGTATTTCTGTTGCCCCCCGACGCTCGATCCAGATATCGGACCGTGCGTCTTTGATATAAAGTGTTCCGTAATCAGAACCACAAGAACTCTGCAAAAATTGTATTCATTTTCTTCTGAAGCTTGAATGTGATCACCGACCAAACAAACATATCAGTTCAAAGCCAAGTGCAGTCACCTCTAAGACTTTCTGCTACTCAGAATCTACAGTGTGGGGTTACGCTTGAAGAATAAACAACTAAAGCGTGCATAAATAATCTTATAACTGGAAAAAAAAAGAACTACATTTTTATATAGACCCTGATTATAACAAAACGTTATATATAGGTAAGTGGCTTGTTCTCAGTAATTGAGATTTTATTTAGTTTCTGGCTTAAAAATGCAGTACATTTTTTTTGTAACACCAAGTAGTGTGAGTCTGTTGAAATGTCATTTAAATTTGTACATATGTACGTCCCAGGAATTTAAATATCACTTGCTAAAGGTTAATTATGACCATGAAGAACTTTATATAATTTCAAGCTTTCACGGTGACCGGACACGATAAAATCCTGTGTCGGGTTGTCAGATGAAACCAACATTTCAGAAACCGTCTCTGTTCCTATCATCAGGGGTCTGCCTCAAATGTCCGTGCCCAGAACCAGTAGGAGCTAGTAGGCCGAGTGAAGCGCTTGCTTCAAGTTTTAGACTCGGCTGTTATGAGCTGTTAAATACACCTCACTGCATTTTGATGCCAGATGTTAAATATATTGGTAATATAGATTTTGACATTCTCAAACTTTTTTCAGAATATAATGAAAGACAAGTGGATGAACATGGGATATGAAGAGGAAGAGCTCAAACCGTATGTGGAGCCTGAACCAGATTACAAGGATCTGAAGAGGATAGGTAGGCTGACTTTTTGTGGACTTCGGTGTGAGGAGAAATGCATCGAGCATGGTCATCTTACCATCTGATGTGATACTACATAAATTTGGCAGTTGATTCAGCATCAATAAATAACATACAAATATTTATAGATATTTCTGATGATGGTGTGGCACAAATAGTTAACGTTTATTAGAGTTCATCCGTCGTCGTCGCTTTCTTGAAATGCTGTGTTTAGAAACTGGTTCTGCCTTCATCTTTCGGCATGCAGACATTTATTTGGATGTCTGGTGATGGATTAGCTCAGATTAATTTCCACGGAGTTGAAGATGGGGAACAACCAATTTCTGAAATTTAACAGCTTAAGAAACTCATGACAGTGAATGAATGTCCAAGAAATTGTAACTGTTACTTCTTCATTTGTTCTTCATATCCACTTAAGCGAGTCCTCTGAAGCCACCTAAGCCTGTCCATCTGTACCTTCTCACAGTTCATCATCATCCTCTTCAGATTTTTGTTCTCATTTTGATCAGTCTTCTTCGATGTTGTCCTTTTACATTCATGTTCAGAAACCTTGTAAGGAATTTCTCTTCATTTACTCTTGAAGTGCGTCTGTCCCATCTTACTCTACAATTTGTTTGCTTTCCGACGCGTTCAACTTTAAATTGTCTAAAACTTTTTATTTATTATTTTTTGTGTTTCTGTTTTTATTCTGCCGCTTAAAAATCTTATCTCTGTACTGGTGCTGGCTGATGTCTGCCCTGTACATTAATATGGGCGTGTAGTTGCATTTAAATTGACTTGTTTTCTGCCTGTTGGAGATTCCTCGTTTTCGCAGCGCGTCTGTGATTAATTGGTAAAATTATACTGTATTCTTTTTCTCTAATTTCTTCTTTAACAGTTGTGTTTGTCACAATTTTGCTTTCTAAATACTAAATGCTGTCCGTTTTTCTACTTCATGATTTACATTTTAGCTGTTTCATGGTCCCATTTTCTCACTTGATTTCTGTTGTACGTTTATCGAAGTCGACATTTGATCCAAAATCCTTTTACGTACTATAACAACCCCCCAGAACTTCTTCTCTGAAGCACTTTCTTTCTGTTCCTTACCGTGTTGAACAGTGTAGGAGGTAAACACTTCTTTGTCTCGCTTGTCTGTGTTTTTGCATGCGCTGCCTCTGACCACATCGTTTTCACTGTATTTGCTCTCTTTGTTTCTCTTTTCCTTTGGATAAACCTGCTTTCCTCCACATTTGTCTGTTTGTACTGCTGCTGGAAGAATGTTCTGCTACATAAAAATATCAGAATTGGCATAAAATTTTAGAGAGTATAACGCAGGTAAAATCATATAATGCAAGTGTTCTCAACCTGTGACCCACATATTGTATCACCTTGTATGGTAAGGAATTGATACCACCTAAATTAATTATTAAGAAATGAACAGTTGATAGAAACTTTCTGCTGAACACATTTGAAATTAACGGGAAGCGCAAAAAATAGAGTTGGACGTACAGGCATGTAGGTGTATCTTATTATCTACGTGGAGAAAAATACCAGCCAAACAGATTTGTATTTTAGGCGTACACAGGTAATTGTCTTCAGCAAATTTACCAATTTCTTTTTCTTATTAACTGTTCCTTAAATTTGCAGTGATATTTATATTAGGCGGGCGATAGTGGGATTCAGGTTGAGAATGAGTGCTCTTCGTTATATGATTTTATCCTGAGTTTCATTTACGCTTCTGGGGCAAAAGAACACGTTCTCTGGATTTAGATATTACTCGCATGAGACCAGTAATGATATTTATATGT